GTCTTTTGAACAGGTAGGTCATTAAATCAGTAGCCTTACTTCCCTTTTGCTCAGAGGGGACCTCCCAAAATCAATGGGGCTTCAGTCATGACCAACCAATCCCCTGATTTCAATGAATCTTCTTTCAGCATGACTAACAGCTTCTAGCTTGCAGCTCCAGAAGCAGCCAGAACTGATGTGTCACCAAAGATGTTTACTTGAAAAACAACCACATCCAAAATCCAGCTCTTTGCTGAGTTACACCCCGTAATGCAAATGGCCTTCCACCACATATTAGTACTATTCTGGCTTTCCCCTGAAAAAATGACTGTATACAGAAAGGGAAAAAAATTATAGAGAGCTGTCTTTACAAAACAGGATGCAGACTTCTGCTGGACGGAAGTGTTTATCTTTCCTTTCACAAAAAGAATAACATCTCTTTCTATACCTGGGAGGGTGCAGCTAGGCAACAGAAGAGTTGGCATGGGTTTCCATTGGGCATAGAAACATAGTTCAAGATGCAGCAGAATGAAAAGGCAATGAAGGGCCAACAGGAGCCATTCACACATAGCTTCAGGTGGAACGTTGCCATTTGCCTTCCCCACATCCAGCTTTTAGTTGAGTCAGACTTGATCAGAAGCTGGTGTTGTTTGGATCTCCGGAATTATTGAGAGGAAAATAAAAGACACAGCTGTCATGCTTCTACTGTCAGGTTCCTTCATGAGGGACCACAAAAGGTCCAACTGGGCTCCTTTCTACCAACTGCGTTTATGACTTCAGGTATTTAGAAAGCATCAGAAAGACTTTGTAGACTCATCTCAGCAGGACATGGCGGTTCCTTTACGAAACAGCTGGAGCTTGTTCTACGCTGGACATCTAACAGTAGGCTCCCAAAACAGACATACACCATGATCTCAATTCTGCCAAGCAGATGCCCAACCATCACCTCTATTCTCAGCAGCGCATGAGGGTATTTTCACCATAGTGGTGACAAACAGGAAAGGAGAGAGGAAGGAGATGCCCATTCTTTCACTTTCCCAGCTGGATTCATACATCATGCTAAGCCCACATCACTTGGCCTGTGGGATTACTTAACATGCTGGGTGAATCAAGCTATTGCAGTTTACAAACTGTGATTTAGTTCCCTGAACCTAGGCACAAGGTCTTCTAAAAAGATTGTCTTTTAGTCTGAAGAGAATCTAGGTTTCAGAGTATTGGAAATAAGTCCATCTGACAATATTTTTAGGCGTGCAACATGCTAGGATGTCCTTGTAACCAGGGTGCTTGGCCCAACCTGTGTGGGCCTCTCCCACGTTTCTCCAGCTGGACCTATTCCCAGGGATGACAAAGAGAATCAGGGGGCAGGAGAAGTAAGATGAGATAGAAGATCAGGAGAATTTTATGTCCCAACACATTATGGGAAAGTTAACTCCTGCCTTCTTTACTTCTCGTTCATGCCACAACTAGAACATACATAGAACAGCCAGTTGCCTTCATGACACTGGGCCAAGAGTAATAAAAATTCCTAGTCATCAACTTCTTCATTCTATTGTACCAAAACCCTTCTATTTCCCCAGTAAGCCAGAGGACACCAAGAGGAATAGATTACTATCTTTGTAACATCAGGGTTGTCTTGCCCGGGGGGTTTCCTTCAGAGAAGAAACATCTTGCTCACTCCCCAAAAGAGAAGTCCTAGTGTCTAAATAAGGATGTTGCACCCAGCTGTTTTTTGCCTTCCTAAGCAGGTCAGGGCTTTAACACAAATTCATGCTTCTCTACATCAAAGAGAAAGTATATATTCAAAGGGGGTTAATGTAGCTTATTCACTTCCCTTGTGACATTTCTTTCCTGATTTTTGCATGTCGACATGTCCTACCAGAAGGACGTCCATGAGAATGACGCAAGAAATAGCTGCACAAACAGCTGCAAAAGCCTTTAGACCAGTGACTCTTAAACTGTTTGACCCAATTACCTCTTTTCCCTGTCTTGAAGAATGTTATTACCTTCACAAAAAAACCTAGACTGTTGTTTTACGGAAGTGTCTTGAAAGTGGCAGTCCCAAACTGGATCCTCAACTTACCAACAAGCAATTACAAATTGCTCCATTACCCCCAAGAGATGCCCAAATTATCCTCAGCTGAAGAAGCACAGCCTTAGACTTAGCTTTGGTTAACACACCACACAGAACTGTGGTCTGTTTGACCATGATTTACAGATTAGGCAGCTTATCAAACTGCATAAACAAGAGCTAACAGACTTAGCATGCAACCATTTTATTGGTTGAATGAAATCAATAAATGACTAAAACTGACTTCCTTAGATGCCTTTAACGTTATCCTAACCTGGCAGAGCATATGCGCAAGACACACACACACACACACACACACACTGAAATACACCCTCCATTCTTCTAAAATAGCCAGATTTTTTTTCCAGTCTAAATTAAAGAGTTAATTTAAAATCTAAATTAAACAAATGTCGTATTTATTTTAATCTCATAAACTGACTGCAAATTTCTTAAGGAAAGGAATCCTGAATCCTGATCATTATCACTGATCAAGTGGAATGACAGCCAGGTAATGTTCTTGGATAATTTTATTATAGCCAAGCTTGCTGTGAGCAGAGCACAATGGTGCTCCAGTTTCAACATTCCGCAGGTCCTTGGGACAAACATGGAAGCAAATGAAGCCATGAAGGTATCACCCACTCGTCAGCATGTGAGAAGAGCTGCTTTCCTCAATACAAGGGCTTTCAGACCAGATACAGAACAATAAGCAGCCCATGTAAATAACAGGCTGCAGTGAACCCAGGACAATACTAAATTTCTCACAGATCTTGCCTCCTGGAACCAGGAAACAACTTTAGCTGCTGGAAACAACTCTGACTGCAGGGGAAAGAAAGCCTTTCGAAACCTAGAAAAAATCCAGATGCCAACACTTCCAGCAGGATGCAAAGCAGCACGTTTCTGAGACTTCGTAACCCGCTGGAAGTCATCGGAGGAGTCAAAATCTTTGCCGGGATGTTGCAAATTCCTGACAACTTCTAAATCTTTGCGATGTTGGGGCAAGCAGCTCCCTTTTAAAAAGTCTGCACCTGGGAGGCTACATCCAGAGGAGAAATGTCTACAGTTTCATTGCCTCTGCTCATGGGTCCTGCTGATGCCCACCCAAGAGGACAATGAGAAGAGAATGGGAAATGGTGGTCTATCGACAGTTTGAACATGACGTCTGAAGCCAACGTGAGCTGCACTGGCAAGAGGAACATCTCACCGACAACATGCTGCGGAGTTTAGCTGAAAGGGAACAAGTTTCCATATGTTTTCACTTGGAGTAGGCTACCCATGGGTGGGTGAGCAGCCCCTCTCTCCCTGCCAGGTTTCCAGTTTGCCTGTTTACAGAAAACCAAGACAGAAAAATGCATGCGTGCATTTGGCTTGAATTAGAGGCTGTTTCCTTGCTGGAGCACATCTGTAATCTGCAATAATAAACTGCTGTAACCACGGCTGAGCATCCATCAGGGGGAGGGGGGAAGAGAGACAGCAGCTACAGATGTTAGCAGGCATATGCCATACAGGCATAGGCAAACTCCAAAATACGACTTCTGGAGCGACCAAACCTGGAACGTAAAACTCAGTGGCCGAGAGATGTGGAATACACCAACTTTCTCCCATCACCTAATGGCTGTCTGGATTTCTGTAGCCTATAGCTGGCGTTCTAGGCAATCCCGTATCCTAAATCAAATTCAGAACACACAGCATTACTTGCAAGCTAATGGCTGGCTAACCGAGGTACGCGGGGATCCCTTCCTTCCTGGGTTCAGATTCCTTCGATAAATTGCCTTTATCCAAACCGAGACTGGTGAAACAGGAAGCAAGGGTTAGTTGAGGAGCACCAAGGTAGTCAAACACTGAAAGGGCACCATATGTTGCAGAAAAAATATAGGATTCTGGACAGCACTGACATCTTTTTTCATTTCCAATATCAGCCGAAGCTGAACCTTTAGCCTTGCCAATTAAGTTTGCTCCGGTGCCTGTAGGGAAATACAAAGAGCAAAGGCGCATCGAACGAGAGAAAAGGTTTCGGTTCCTGCCCAACAACCGTCTTGCTTTGGTATTTAAAAAAAAAACACACACACCTTCTCTGCCAAAAGCATGGCAAAGGCAAGTCGGGGATTGTTTTGGAATTTGTGTGTGTGCACAGCGCTAGGCAATAATCAACATGCACACAGTGGACAACAAAAGCAACATTTGATTAGCAGTTACCGAGAGAGGGAGGGCAGTTCCCGGTTTGTGAAGGGCAAACTAGTCTGCAAATTAAGGTGGAGAACAATACCCCCAAGCAGAGCACCCTCTGGAAAGACATCCATGCAATGCGTTGCTGAAGCACTTGGGCCTATTAATGTGTTTAAAGGCCCCCGAGAGAGGGAGAGCGACAGCAAGACAGAGAAACGCACAGCACAGAAACGTCGCAGCGCTTAAGGGTTCGTCTCCAGGCCACTGCAAAACTTGGAAGGGAGAAAACTCCAAGGAGGCAGGGAGAGACAACCCAGAATCCTTTCCAAGTCTTGAATACCCCACTATATATCCAAATACAAGCTCAGTGGATTAATAAACGGCCAAGGAAAGGAAGGAGGAGGTACATGGGTCTATTCCCTTTTATTTATAGATTCTTGGAAAGAAAAAAAAATCTAGAGATCGCCTACATCATATTATGCCCATAATATGCCATTCGCAGTTCCTGGAGATGGTGCTTGATTGAAGAAAGGACAGGGGGAAGGCTGACCCCACACACTGGCTATGCTCACACAATGCGCTAAGATGGAAGGTGGGTGATCCGTCTGGATCCCCTCCTGGAGGGAAGGCGGGCACCAACCCCCCAACTCTTGACTGAGCTCTGTCGATAAGATGTAGATCTGTCAGTCTAAAAGAATAGTCTATCATTCTTGATCCCTGTCCTAGAGATCAAATAAGGAAGGGAGAGGGGCAAAAGGATACCCCCCCCCAAAAAACCCTTCTGACTTACCTAGACGATAAAGTGACAAAGTCGCCTCCATCCAACAGCCGAATTTTGCAGAACAGCACGCCGTTCACGAAAGGAACCGCCGTCAGCTCCTCCAAGGTGAAACTGATCTGAAACTTGAATTTCTTTTTCTTCATCAAGAAAGCCATGGGCAGATTGCAGCGAGGTGAAACGAATAGTATTTAAAAAAAAAAAAAAAAAAAGGCTAGAAACGGATCTTTTTTTTAAAAAAAGGAAAAGAAAAAGAAAGAGTGACCCGCTCTAAATACAAAGCGGCTTGCCAAGGTGGTGCCACCAAAGAACGCTCTCTCCCCAGCCTTGCCAACGCAAGGTTGAAAAACAGGGCAGAGACTTCAACTCAGATGGAGCGGCAGCTTGAAATGAAAATTTCTCTTTCTTTGGTGGTCTGACCTGGCTATCGGATCAGGTAACGCCGAGCCCAGGTAAGCAAGAGTGCCAATTCCAGGTAGGGAAGAGAGCAAGTCAAGTCTTTGGTTCATCTCCAAGGGAGGAAAAACAGAAGGGGGGGGAATCGGAAGCCCCGGACCTGCGGGAGCTGGCTGATCAGAGGTGACAGGAACCGGTTCCTCTGGAGACCACCCTCGAAGGCATGGCAGGTTGGCTTCTCAGCGAGTGCCAGCCCCGGCCTAAGTCTCCTCCCCTTGTGCAAAACTTCCGTAGTCGCTTCCGTAGACTTCTTTCAGCCTAGGGAAAGGAATGAGGAGGTTGTCAATCTCAGCTCCTCCCTCTGTTTTTTTCCCCCCCAACTGCCCACCTAATTATAGATCAATCCAACTTTCTTCCCCTCCTGTCTGAGAAAAAATAGGCTCATGATTAGCGGTGCCTCTATCAGCAACTGTCATTGCAACCTGTTCCATTTCTTCCCCGTGCCACGTATGGTGATCAAAAGGCATTTTCTTGCAAACGGCTCCAGAAAATCACGGGGTTAATTCCCACACACACGTCTCTCCTCATTTCTTTTACACCAACTCACACTTCATCAGTAGCAACAACCACATATACACAATCCAATTTGATATAAATGCACCTACACAAGCCTAAATGTGTGTGTGTACATACATATACATTCCTTCTAACTTTCCAGCCTTTTCAACCAGCCACCTTGAAAACTTTCTCCAAGAAGAAGAATGCAAAGAGATAATTCACTCAAGGGGTTTACAAAAGTTAAACCTTATTCCCAACTTTGTCCTGCCTTATATGGGGATACAAACTTCTGGATTGGATCGCCCAGTTCATTCTGTGGAGCATGAAAGGCTAGTAACAGATTGCCTATGTGCAGTTCACTGCAAAAGCACACGCTGATTAGAAGTTATTGATTTCAAGAACTTTACCCTATTTTGCAACTTGAGAAGCTGCTAACCGTTTTTCTGCCGTTTACCCACACTTACTCCCTGGAGGAATGCTTCTAAAGTTCAGCATTGCAAGTTCAAGGTGATCTTCAGGAGAAAACTTGGCTGTCTGACTGCGCTGCTCAGATCTGAGATACGCCACCTCTCCAGGTAGTGCAAACGTCATGCTAGACCAGCTTCTACCCCGTGGAAAACAACAGCCTTCTTCTACCCTTCACCATTCTGGAAGGTTGAGGTCCCTCAATCACTCGTCCAACCAAACCATCCTTAGCTTGCCCTCAACCCCCCAATGCACCACGTTCCCATCGATCTGCTAATCCCATGGATCTAGGTCCATCCAATGTCCCCATCACCGCCTCCGTTCTGAGACTGAACAGAGGATTGACTTTCTCCTTGGTTTCAAGGCCCACCTACTCCATCACAGAGGGCTGGAGCTTAACAAGATGGATTCTGAGAGTCATAGCGTGACAGGTCTCAGCCTCGTCAATTCTCAAGGGGGTAGATGATGCTGTTTATCGTGCACTGCAACACTAACATTTAACCCAATGTGACTTTAAGGGTTACACGTCTTAGAGGCTCTAGCAAGGTTTTCAAACCACACAGGATTTAGATAGGCTGTTCGATGCACACACCGCCATGGTTTGTCCACTGCGCTAAGTAAAAACAGTAGTATGCTTCCTGGCGCAGTGGGATGAACCCAGAATTGTGGTTTATTCAGTTAAAGAATCGATGGCGTAACACAGGATGGGAACTCAGTCTCCTCTTAAATTAAATACCAATAGTCTGAAGCTGGAAGACAAGCCATAGGTGGGGGAATAAAGTCCTCTCTTCCTGATGTTCTTACACCCTAGTCTCTGTTGGTCTGGTGTGGTGGGATTTGAGCAAATAATGGGAGACTTCATGGGGGTCTCCCAATTCAGACGCGCACGTAACCAATCAGTGCAGAGGAAGAATCAGTGAAAACAGATCAAGTATGACTTAACACTGAAAGGCACCCTCGTTATTCATTCCTGCTTCCTAAAGTTGGTTGGATTAAGGTTTTTTTTTTTTAAGGGAAAACAAGTAGGTCATATAAGACTCAAGACAGCTCACTCTTCATACCTCTTGTTTGCAGACCCTGAGAAAGAGGATAAAACCCCAAACGTTCAGGGACAACTTCTGATTTATAACCAGGTCCATGCGCAACCGGGCTCTGCTCCACTTTTACTACAGGCCGAAACACCACCTTTAAGACAGGTATCAGCAGAGAAGCAACCGGGGTTGCGCCGCGATCCCTGAGAAATAAATCCTGCTGTATTCAGAGGGTTTATTCCCGGATTAGCGGGTGTGGTATTATTGCAACCTTAAATCTTCAACGCGCTAAGAAATAAGTTTCCTTGGCGCTCGCGGGACGGATTTCCAAACATTCAGGGGATTGCACAATTAAACCTGTAACAGTAAACACAAGAACTAGCAACACCTTAAAGCCCAACGCCGTATTTGGGCAACAACGAACTCTTTAACACGCAATCCCAAGCCAAGCACCTTCAACCCCACCGGTTTCCACAGGAGAAGCGCCTTTAATGCAAAGAGATAGGAAAAGTTTTTTTTTTTAATTTTAATTCGGAGACACCTGTGTGCAGGTGGACCCAGCCACGAGACGCAGCAGACAGACACACTTGTTGGACCCGGGCTGGCCCCTCCATCGTGGCTTGTTTCAACGATGGCTTGTGCATAAGCCACGATGAGCGAGCCCGCTCATCACGGCGGGCCACAAGGGGCTCCGATAAACTTCTGAGAGCCCCGGGCGGCGACAGCAACCGGGAACGGTCCTCTGGGGCCGGGGAGGGTCGCCCGGGCGCGCGTGTGAATGCGCCGCCAGCTGGGGATGCCACCCGGGCGCGGCGCCCCGGAACTTTGCACGGGGGAGCCCGGCCCAAACGGGGGCGCCTTCTGCACCGATGCACGCACGTGGGCATTTTTTGCACGCTCTGCACCGCTCGGCATGGGGGGCAAGTCGCCCCCCTCCAGCCCCTCCCCATGAAGGCTTGCAAAGGGGTCTCTCCAACCCCCTCCCTGGATTGCTCCCCTTGCAGCCCCCCTTGGCCCCCTCCCAGGTCCATTTTAGGGTCTCAGCTCCCTTAATTGCACCCCCTCCCCAAATCCCCCCAAGGGGAGAGGTGCCCTTCTCCCCCATAGCCGCATCTTCCTCTCCTGTCCCTCTTCCAATGCACCTAATGGGGGGGGCAGGCAGTCCCCCCACCCACCCTTGGGGAGGGTCTCTCCTACCTCCGCGGCCGCTCCAGACCTCCTCTGTTAGCTGGGCTTGCCAGCGCTACGCCAACTGCGCCCGCTACGCCGCTCGCGTAAGGGGGAAGAAGGGGGCGGGGAAAAGGGTCCGGAGGGCGGTTCCCAAGCCCCAGACGCCCGAGGGCGGGTGGGGAGAGGCGCAATAAAAAAAAAAAAAGGGGGGTGGGAAGGTTCTCGCCTCTCTATTGG